ATGTACCACTGTGTCTTCCTATTAATAATTAGGGACGATCATTTGATTCTGAGGGGGGGGGGGGGGGGGCAGATTTTGGAAATAAATAATCTGTCCTCAAAAAAGTTGAAAATAAATAACTGTCTTTCCACGACCGGCAAGAAAATAAATAATCTGTCCATGACTATTACTTCTTATCCCCCCCCCCCCCCGGTCCCCGTTTGAACTTTTTTTTTGTTTTTTGTTTGTTTTTTTTTTTTAAGAAAATAAATAATCTGACCTTGATCATCTTGAAAATAAATAATCTGTCCTTGACTGGCATGAAGATAAATAATCTTACTCGAAAAATTTTGCCAGACCCCCCCCCCCGACCCCCCCCCCCCTCCTCAGAATCAAATGGTCGTCCCCTTAATCGATTCAGCAAATTAATCCAATAATTTAGATACCTCATTCTGTGGTTTATGATAGCTACAGCGCTAGCTCACCTATCTTTTTAAAAGATAAGCTTGTTGGTTCTATATAAATCCTAATTAACTTCCTTGATATGACGTAATCTACTGCATGCTATATTTCTTCTGTCGAGGAATTAATTTTCGATGAGACTTTAGTCATTTCCGTTTGATGCCTGTCTTGCACATGCATCTTTGATTTCTTGTTTCATATCACTTGGTTAATTTCCTCCAAACTGTGCACAGTAATCTTTGGGTAAATGTGGATTCATGGTAACATTTTAACCAGAAGAACAAGTATGTCTTTGCCGTTCATGTTACATACTGATTTAGTCGGGTAGTTGTAATTACAATATGTAGGTACAGTATGAGAACAACAAAGTCTTGGGATTAGAAATATTCTATAATTTTGTAACTGAAAAATAAACTCATTCTTAGATGAATTGCAAGTTAAGTCAATCCTTACATAATTTACAAAGTGTATAATACTTGTATGTACTTTGTGACATAAGGGTATAAGAAAAACACGTCACTGACCTAGTGCCTTGAACTTGACTTTTGACATACTTTTTAAATATTTCATAACACTATAACTTTTGACTGTCATTTTGGTCAAAGGTCAAGGTTAAAGTTTGAAATTATTCATATGCCCATTCGATTGCATTCATTCTAACCTGATCTAAACTTCAATCTTTGGATTTATTACATGGATGGAATATGGTTTTAGTTAAATCTTATAGATGGTGACGTTATTTGGTCAAAGCTCACGGTCAGATCAAATTAAATGTATTTACGGCATTTTTGATGCAGCTACAATTTCTTTTTTTTTTTTAATTAATAATCATCTTTACATTACAAAGCTTAAGACTGATTCGAAGAAGACACCCCCCCCCCCTCGATAAAGGTCATTGCTATTGATGTGGTAACTGTGCTATGAACATGAAATGCATTAAGATGTTGCTATAAATGAGGAAGACTTCAATATATGTATGTTTACAGAAAGATACTTGTAAAATCGGATGTCTTTCAGTCCAAAGTAAAGGTCAAAAGTAATTATTTTACTATGGACACGTTTTTGTAGAACATTTCTGCGTATACTGAACATAATATTTAGATTTCATATTCAAACAGTTGAAAGAGAAACCTAAAAATTTTGCTGACATCATGCTCCAAATTTAAAGTTTGAAAGATCAAGATTATCGAAATAATCAGACTCTGCTAGGCTTGTATGACTGATTATTTTATAGTTGCTTTTTGAAAAAGAAGATACAACTGTCAATTTACCGTCTTATTTCATCAGGCTTTAATTTTGAAAATACTACGACTATAAAAGAAAATGTGTGAAAAGTTTATTATCCATTTTTGAGTGCTTGTAAGCATTTTTTTCAAAGATGGAGTGTTTTGACCTCGCTTGTGGGAGTCTGTCCTCTAGCTTTATAAATCTAGATAAGTACAGCAAAGATTGCTCTAGCATTCTATATTGTACCATGGGACATATTCTGAATTTAAAATAAAAAAAAAAAGTTGTGTGTGCACTGCCTATATTAGATGAAATGTAAATAGAATGCTTTAACGATTTAACGTAAGGTGATGCTATCTCCTTTTTATGGCCGTCATTAAAAAAATCGTAAAAGTCAAACTTTATCAATATTTCGTAGCTTAACATAGGTGACATTGAAATATATTTTGAGTGACAATGTTATCTTATAATAACAGTGATCATAACACAGGATGTTAACGAGGTAATTTACAAGTTAATTGTGGAAGCTTTAATTATCGCTGTCTGAATTGTTTCAATCCTCTTTTCCTCTGTCCTGATAAGAACATCTTTGAAAATTAGAATTTTGCTGAGTGTTTTTTCAACTTCAGTCATTCACAGTTCCGGCAATTTAGGTTTGTGTTAAAAATGATAAAATAAAATTTTATGCTGATGATTTTATAAAGGAAAATCAAAGTCTTTGAGGGAAAAAATCTTATGAGAATGAATAGGCATCAACGCTAATTAATCATTCAAATTTTCAATCATTTAGTTATTTTGACATTAAGTAAATTAAGGGTATTTGGGAAAGTTCTATAAATGAACAAAAAAATGTGCAGTTAGTGAGTTACATGTACCTGTGACGTGACTTTTCGTTTGTATACCTTGTAACAAATTAGCCAAATCTGTGATAAAACCTCAGAGTATTTCTTATATGAACATTTAATAAAAGTTTCTATCACCTGATCATAAAACATTCTCGTATTTCTATGTTAGCAAGAACCAAGACACGTAAATATTTAAGTCTGATGTAAGACTGATGTATCTAAGATGGATCACATCTCTGGTGACTGATATATATATATATATATATATATAGGTATACAGTGTGTTGCTTGATTTAATAATACCAAACACGCTATATAACCAAGTTTCAAATATTGATAATTCCCCATACAAGGAAATAACAATTACAGATGCATTTACTGAGGTCCATGCCTGACCAATGCCCTGGCCAACATTGTCTCTTTCACCCCTCCATTAGCCTTCGACCAGTAGCTGAATCTGTGTATTTGCACAACAATCGAGAGCAGATTGTTGGTTAATTACAGCATTTAAAGCTTACTGGGGATCGCACGGCTTATTGGGAGGAATTCCTTTTGTATCTGTGGGTTTGACAATCACTAATAGTCTTGTGGAAGAATGTTGGAGCATCTGTCCAAATTTATATTAGAATTTGACACTATAGGTATTTAACAATGAAGGTTAACCACAACTGTTGTACTATGTTGTTTAACAAAACTTTTAAATTATGATCAAAGGTTTTAAGAAATATTTGTATCATTTTAAACATTTATATGGATATAAATCATGTATCAACTTTATGTATGTATGTATGTATGTATATATATATATATATATATATATATATATATATATATATATATATATATATATATATATATATATATATGATACCTTATTATTTGACTGATTTAGAAGAATAGTTTTATATTCTTACGAACAAAGATACATAGCAGGTTCTAGTAAATGATCTATCAAGCCTCTTTCTTTACTCCTCACTAAAATATTAACAGTGAAGGAGAAACTTCAGGAGTACTGTACAGCAATATATTCGAGAAGTGGTGTAAATCAGATGCGGATACTCCAAGGAACTTTTAGAAAATTTGAAATCACAAAATTTTACAAAAATCAATAACATGAAAATATACGACTTTTCAACATTTTATACAACCATTCCCCACAATGAATTAAAGTCCAGGCTTTTTGAAATCACAGACAGCTGCTTTTTCCAAAAAAAAAAAAAAAAAAAAAGGAACTCATAAATTTACTTACCTTGTCATTTGTCATTTTAAAAAAACATTCTGATTGTACACACATGTACTCTGAAGTAGATATTAAAAAGATGCCCAAGTTTCTGATTGACAATATCTATGTAGTTTTTGGAGATCAGGTCTTCCAAAGATCTGTTGAAATTCTCATGGGCACCAATTACACCACGTTATTAGCAGATTCATTTTTGCATTCATATGAATCAGAATTTATTCAAAAACTCATACATGAGAAGAAGAAAATACTTGTTGTGGTCTTCAACTCGACATTTAGATATATCGATGACATATTATCAATTAACAATAGTTATTTCCATTCATATGTTGACTAGATATATCTCAGTGAACTTGAAATAAAAGACACCACAGATTCTGCCACATCTGTTTCATATTTCAATATTTTACTAGAAAAAGATGTTAATGGTAACAAAACTTAATGATAAACATGATGACTTAATTCAACTTTTCTATCATCAACTTACCTTACTTATTAGCAATATACCCTTAGCTGCATATGGGGTTTATATCTCCAAGTTGATTCAATATGCAAGAGGATGCTCCTTGTATGAACAATTTATAAAACAAGGCAAGCTATTGACAAACAAGTTGATGAAACAAGGATATCAACAGTCTTGTTTAAAGTCATCATTTCACAAGTTATACGGTTCATACAATGACCTTTTCAGCAAATACAATCTATCAGTTAGTTGAATGCTAACTGACATTTTTCATACTAATTGTTAGGCCATTATTTAAACACTGAATTGTCTACGGATTTTTCTGTTTGCTGGATCGTGACAATGAGCACACTGCAGGTATGACCGGTTGATACAGGATGCTCTCTCCTCCATGGCATCTGATCCCACCTCAGATGTTTTGTAGAGGTCTGTGTTTCCTCTGCACCCGATTTGTATGTTTCAATGAACTTTTGAGCTTGATTACTGTTCGTTATCTCCATATTTCGTCCATGAAATGGTTTATTTTTTCAAACCTCATAAGTATAAATGGAATGATTTGTGGTCATGTGATGAACCTGTTTTTATACAGGTTTAAATCAGATTGCTCAGATAGTGTTATATAAGGGAAACATTTATTTTTTCAAACCTCAGCTGTACCAATTGAATGAATTTAAGTCATGTGACAAATCAGTTATTAAACAGGTTTAGATATACATTGCTCAAATAATGCAGATAAAATATTCTCAAGTTTGTCTCCCTGATAAACTGAGTTATCAAAAGCACACAGTCTTCCTGAATAATTTATTGAACAAAAAGAAAAAGAAAACAGACTAGGATGGTGAAAACATTACTAAATATAATACAAAATTGTGCAATAACATTTCTTTGGAACATGAAGCATGAATGGCGATACTCTTGCTTTGTACATTTATAAAAGATAAAATCACACACACACACACACATCACACAAACATTCTATTCCACAAAAAATTCAAACTTTTAATTGAAAATCATGCCTTTGGCTTAACTCATTTTCTACGTATTTAGAATGGAAAACAAGTTCTTTACGGACAATGTAAGGAAGCAATCTCATATATATACATAAATTATATCCCAAGTCAATGTCCAATATAAAGAATGGTGATCATTGGTCAGCCAAGATCATTCAACTCCTCTTAACTTAATTACTTCTCTGTATAAGTTAATGAGGTGCTTATTATAGGCATAAAAGCATGTGTCATTGGTTTATGTGGTGCATGTCAATTCCATACTAGATTTAACGCTAAATTAGAATTATATATTGCTCCATTTGCTGTTCAATATCCTGTCATCAAACCAGGTACATTGCATGCTCCCAACAGAAAATTGCCTCTTCCTCCTGGCTTAACAGGAGTATGAACCCCCCAGTTCTTATATGAATTTATCTCATAAGTTTGGAAAAAATGATTATCCTTATGTAAAACATAAAATGGTCTGCAAACACACAGTTTTCTAGATGATGATGAAGCTAGTAGCTGCTTAACTGATGACAAAATGACTAGGGTCTTTATAATTTTACTTTATAATGATAGACCTTGCTCCAGGTCTATGTAAAAATCATGGAATGTCTGTCTTTTAAAAAGAAATCCTGATGTTGCCAAATAAAATATGAAAAATCAAACCAGCAAGTTTATGAATTAATAAAGAAAAAAATACTTTGAATTCAAAATTATTCTTTTTTTTAAAATTTTTTTTATAGAGGAACTTTTAAGAGTAATTTGCATTTAAAACTCTTTATTGGATTTGAACAGTTTGTTATCTATTATACATACAAAAAAAAAAGAAAGTATAAACAAAATAAAATTTAAAAACGTTCTCTATTTAAAGTCATCTCGATTTAAAACTCTGCTATCCTAACTATCATAATAAAAGAGTTATCTTAGAGTTTATATCTACATAAAAACACAGAAAATAAAAAGCATGTAAAAATGACAATAAAGGATGGTACAGATGATGCAGCAAAACTGCCCTGTGTATCAGATCGTACAACATATCGCACTTCTCGTCTGGGCTCAAATGAAAATGTACGATATACCAGCCTGTCATTCACTGGTTGGACAGGTCGGTAGTTGTCCACCAGTTGTTCCTGTATAATTTCTATCGTGATTTCTTGAACACTTTCAACTGGCTTACTTTGCGTCTCATTCTGGGTCTCGTAGCCTTCATCTTGCATCATTTTTGGAATGCGGATGTGCTGGAAGTAAGAACACATTCATTTATTACAGTCTACTATTATGACTTTGATAATTCAGTCACATGTTTGAACACAGATTTTTGGGAGCCGGATTTATGTAAGCTTTTGATATAGATGTCTGGATTGAGGCTTAGGTATCCCTTAAGGAGGTCAACACACGAAGATATAAAATAGAACCTACACATACTTCTTTAAGGTGAAAAACGTGACAGACAGGTATCAAATTAGATCTCTAGTATCACCTTATTAGTTTAATATCTTGGGAAGTGTTTTATTTGATTCTTAAAATATTCCTCAATGCTATAAACCTGAACTACCAGTGTGAGAAAAATCAATGAAAGGAATATAATTCAAATGTTTCCAAATAAAAAAAAAAAACATTTTAATTAAAATATGAAAAGCATTTAGAGAGTTTGGTAAATTAACACTGTCACAGTGGCTCTTACAACTACCTCAACCCCTCTCCCCCATCCTCAAGATCATACCCTCCATTTATTTGTCACTTGTTGATTAATTCTTCCTTTTGTAGTGATTTTCATGTCCTTATTATTAGGACAATTAATGCATGTAACTGGTTTGGAGGTTTTTGGTATTGGTCATTTTATGATGGACATTAAAATATCCATGATTAGTATTATTACCTTCTTTTTCTGAAGAGCTTCAATCATTTTTAGTTCTTCCTTAACATCCCCAATAATACCAGCCTCAACCATAATGTCCTCCGCGGCCTCTCTATCTGTACCAGACACATCCCGTTTCTTCTTTTCACCCTTCATCTTTCGGTGTTGGAAAAGTTGACGGAATTCTGCCATCTGAAGTAAAATTTAAACTTATTGATTAAGTCGTCAAATTTGAATGGGATCAAATAACCCAGCCATCTGAAAAATCTAGTCTTCATTTGTAATTTCTGGAAGACCATAAAAATCAGCCATGTGAAAATATTTAATCAAACATCTGATATTCATTCTTAAAGTGCAATTAATGTACTGCAAAGAAAAAAACCCAGTTTTATTCAGTTGAAAATCAGAGGAAAACTCTATGGGTTACCTACTTTTTTTTGTTTCCGAGAGATTAGTTAAATTATCATGCCTTGGGAGAAAAATATCTTGTATAACAAAAATGATGATCTGCTAAATGCATTGATTTATTAGGCTTTTGAATCACTGCAATCTTTACATAAAAGTTGTTTAAAAGTGCATATCAAAATTCATTAGCATTTTTTTTAACTGGGATGCTGTGCTCTAATTGTGAACTTGGTTTCCTGCTTTTGTCTGAAAATTTTAATCTAGAAATAATTGGTCAGACAAATAATTCATTCAGACTCCCTCTTCTCAAAGAGTGCAAGAATCAGGAAGAATATTATATCATTTCAACAAGTGGAATTTGATATTCTTATATATGAAATTATTCTGCAGTATACATGGTTTTATAACAGATCATTGGCTTACATATTAAAAGATTAAAACTTAATTTGCACTTTTCTGAAGAAATAAAAAATAATGTAGGAGTTTCAATAAGAAAAGTTGGGCAGAGAATCCATTTCTTGAAAGTGTCATTGGGTACCAACAGGGTTATACTCTAAATGATCTCTTATTTATTTCCCCAAAAGGAAATAGATTTGACTGATTTGTAGGAAGTTTGTACTCTCAGTGATATACCTGACTTTATAAAAAAAAATGTGGATAAAAGTCTAGTTTTTTCAATGATTTATGGGTACCCACAAGATTATATGCTCCATTCAGTTCCCCCATAAGGTCATTTATTTTTAGAAAGTTGTACTGTAAATGATATACCTGTCTGGCTGAGAGGGTCAGTTTGTCCTCAAATACCGTCCAGATGACACTCTCAAAGCAACCTGGAGTGGTCAGGGATCCATTGTACCTGTAGAATTTAGAGGTGTTCTCAGGTAGGAAATTTTTGATTGGCTGAGCTTCAATCTTGACCTTTGCATGGTCCTCTGAAAAACAAAATATGCAATGCAGTGTTATCTACACAGTGTTAGCGATTTTAGGACTATGATCTTTGATTTTTTTTTCTAATCACTTAAAGTCCACTATTCTCAGCACATTATCCACATTTCATTAAAATTATGCAAAGTATAACAAATGATGATGATCTGCTACATCATCTGGATTCAAATTAAGCTGCCAACCTAACATCTTTCACCCTCTTTGCAAGCCCTTGTGTTTGAGATCTGAGTTCAACTGGCTTTCAAACATTTTGTAAATTTATAGCAAAGTAAAAGTTTCTCTTTGGATTTTTTTTGTATTAACTGGTAGTTTTTTTTTCTAAAGAAAGAATTATTATGGTAATTAATTGTTATGTTGATTTTAAGACATGTGACATAGTAATAAATATTTATTATTACCTGGATCTCGGACCACCTTCATTGCTTGTATGATTGGTTCTAAGGCTTCATTATCCTTCTCTCCTATCTATGTAAAAAAAGATCATACATGTAGCTATATCAACTTTCTTCCGGTATTGTAAAACAGTTTACAGTCATCAGCTGAATTTCTGTGTAATCCACTGAAAACCATTTTATATGAACTAGAGGCAATCATTTAATATTTATTTAGGTGACATGTAAGCATACAGCACTGTATCTCTGGTTTAAGAGAAAATAACCACCAATTGATGTCTAAGTTGTATATCTAGTTACAATGGCTATTATGAAGACTGTATCTTACCCTGAAGAGTACTCCAAGTACAGCAAGGCCTCCTGCCTCTGTCATGGCTTGACCAATGGAAGCGTAAGTCACTGAGTCATAGTTTACTATGTGGAGCTGAAAAGTTAATTAAATAATAATTCATTCCCAGAATTAAAAAAAATGTAAATTATGAAAATATTTGATGAATAAGGATTTGTGCTGAGTAGAAATTTTTAGTGGGTAAGGGTTGTAGCAGTTATCTTTCTTTTATGAATTGCAATATGAAAGTCTTACTTCTAGTGGGAAGGTATGTCCATCTATCTGGTGTTCTGATCCAAAGCCATCTTCTGATCCCCAGTGGAAGTGGAACTGGGCAGTACTGTACACTGAAGACAAACCACCATTGGCTACATAGTAGGGGCCAATAGTGTTGACTTGTACTGAAAGTAGATCATTATCCAAAACTTATTGTTGTCTACATATCATCAGATGGAATATAGATCCATCATCAAGCTTTTTCTAAGAATTAAATATGAATTTTGTGTCATAGACTGTAATACTGCTTAATTAAGTAGATTCAATCAGTCAGTGAGATATGATCCCATTAAAAGAAGACATATTTAAAATTCAACACATTAGGATAAAAATCAAGACATACTACTTGAAGAACTCTAGAAAAATTCTGTGTTACAATATTAATATGCATATTTGAGGAAGATTGTAGTCGAAGAGCAGCCTTTGCAATAGTATCTAAGTTCTTTCTCAGTAATCATAAGTCAATGTAACAAACCTGTATGGCCATTATTGAGGACATAGAACTCGGCTCCAGGAGCAGGTGGGTCGTACCAGAAAATAAAGTTATTAATGTCTGGGTTGAAGATTGTCTTCTCTCTCTCGATATTTATAGGGGACTGGTGTGATCCCAAACAGGAGTTTTCAAACAGAGTGTGCCAGTTTGATGGACCTGTGAAATATCGGAACTTCTAAAGATTGTCTTTGTTTAGTTTTCTCAGTTTTATAGTCATATTTGCTTAAAAAAACTTGTTATCATGCATTACACAACTTTTTCATCTTGATGTGCAGCAATTCATCGCCAAGACACAAGACAAATTTTCAATAATTGATATGGCATGTTGTGAAATGAACTGTATATTTTGGGGGAAATATGATTTTTATAAGCAATTTCTTGCAAGTAAGCCTGATTTCACAGTCAATGCATGTTAATTTCCAGACATGCAATTACCTTTCTTGCCAGTGTAACCCCAGTGAATCTTTTTTGAGGGACCTGCAATAAAAATAGAAACATTAATATTACCATATCCATCTCCCACGAGAGTTTTCTACTCACTTATCTAACGGTAAATTGTGTAATCCATAAGACTATTTGTATTATCAGAGATGACAGTTCTGTTGTTAACTTAAGAAAGTGATCTATAGCTTAATGTTTCTCACTATATTTCGCATTATATAATGTTTGCTGTTTTTGAGTTCAATACGATGATTTAGGTACCCAAGGCATACAATATTCACTTAGTCCAAAAGGCAAGATGAATATTGCACTTCAGTGAGGGTTGCTAAATCATTGTATTGACCAAAAATAAAAACAGCAATAATTGTTTCATTTTATGATTATAAATGATAACTCAGCAAACCTTGCTATCTTTCTTGGTTGTTTAGGTCTATTGAAATCTTAGCAGAATTAATGCATAGAGAGAGATGAAAGCTTTCATTGGATTAAGATCACAAAAACAAATATAACCAATGTTATCAATTTGGAAGTTCTTAATATTTATTATTTTGGTCCAATGTAGGAAAAAAAAAGACTTGACTGAAAACTAGTTCAAGCCACTGCATGGCCTGTGATATTTCAGATCATCTTGATAAATGCTTCCCTAGATGTTGCATTAGATAAATGATAATGCATTCTGTGCTTTTATACAGCAGCCATTATTTCTACCTTTTTTGGGCTCTATCTTGAATGAGGAGTACACAGTTCTGCTGTTCAGTGGCTGTACAGGTCGGTAATTATCATACAGAGCCTCCTGGATGAAAGCCGTGGGAATGTCTTCCAGTTTCACAGATTCGTCTGCACTCATATTGTGTGTCATTTGGTATTCCTAAAACATTGAGTTTTAATTTTATTAATTTGATTAATGATAATTTGTTTATAATTAAGATAGTTAGGTGATATCACTGGTGTTTCATCAAAATAACTGTATTATTTTGATGAAACTTTTTATCCCCTTGCAAGGAAAGTTGGAGGTCATATAGTAATGCACTTGTGGGTGTGTAAGTGAGTGGATGAGTTCATGGGAAATGGAGACAAAAATTAATGTCGGGATCGATGTGCTCTTTTGGGATGCTTCTCTTTGCAATGCGCTTGTTTGTTTCTTGAAATTTTCTTTCATCTCTCTGTTTTGCTGTATGTGCTCAAATTTTAAATTTGTAATATTTTTGGAACAATAGTCATTATACTTCATATTTTTCATGAAGGTCATGGTCCAAGTTTTGTAGGTCAAAGTCATACTTCTAGGTCAAAGTCATACGACTTGTCACTAAACTGAGTTAATGTGTTTCAGAAACTTTTCAATATTGTAAATCAAAGTTTGTGGACCATTTTTTCCTTTCCAAAATTGTTTGAGCTTGAGTTAAACTTCTTTAAATTTCTTACATAAAAAAAAGTTATGTAATAATAATTTATGTACTATATTATACATCACAGTAACTGGAATTGTAAATTGCGTAGAAAGAAGACAAAAACTTAATCTTTAATTATGTAACTAAACACAGTTCTACTTAATTGTTTTGAAAAACAAGGCCACATGATATAATACCAATGCATAGAGTATTAATTTCAATCTTCTTTGAAAAAGATTAATATTTCTTTAAGAACTGCAGCTGCTTTAAATATCATTTTCAATCCCAAACCAAAGCCTATTGACAGCATATATGTTTTCAAATCAGGATTGCCTTGGTACTAGAAAAATCTATACCATTGTAATTAGGTCACATGTTTATACAGGTTGCACTGTTGATTCTTTACAGTTAAGTTTTGTCTTTAATTAATCAATTAAGGTATGTCACTTCTAATATATGTACTGTATTGTTATATCAAGGCTTTTTTGAGAAGTATATTTTAGATATCTACTCATATGGCACAATTAACTTAAAATCGCAAAGAAAATTGAGGGTTCATCAGTGTGTAAGTTACTGAGCAATGGTAAAATTTGATTTGACACAAATGGTACAAATTGATTTGACCTTCTTGCATTCAAATTTTAACTTTAAGCTTAATCAGTTTAGCCTCCATCAAATACATGAATTGTCTGATGTAATCATGGCAATAGATATAATCTTATTTTATAAAGATAAAATAGTTTGAATAATGATATATATTGTTTAATTCAGATATGATTAATTCAAATCTGTTATAAAAATTAAACTGCAATCACTTAGTTTGATGTAAGAGGTTTTTTTCAACAGCTGATGAGTGAAATACTTTAAGGAAATTTTGAATGACTCTTACGACAGACTATTCGAAACCTGGAGCCTTTTGTCTCGATATTTAATGAAATTTAATCCACGAGAAACTTCGTTAAATTTTGAAGCAGAACAAGGCATCTTTAAAAGCCAGGAGATGTAAATTTGACCTAGTTTATTTTCTCAGGAGATGGGTTTTGACATTTTAGACTGAAGATGGTAACAAACAGCATGCAAGGATGTCACAAATCTTCTAGAATATCATCAAATATTAATAACCATTATTTTATATGCTGCAGAATGAACATGCTTTGTTATTTACATATCCGTTCCTTCATGCAGATTATATTTCTGACACTACATTTTGTAACAAGTTCATATAGGACATATTATTTATTCTCTTAAGAGAAAATGAAAGCATTACCAAGCTTACATACACTTTTGTGGATGACTATGCCAGGCCTGTCCACTTCTCTACAGAGAATATGGATGGATGCTTGGCTTAACGATTTCTTAATCCGACTTTCTAACCATCTTTTTACACCATATTTAGACATTTACTAGGCACCCAGGACAGCTTTGTCTGATTACTAATGTAGCCTCAGGATTTTTCTCACATTTTCGCCATTTTCTTGGTTTCAAATGTGTAAATGTAATTATTTCTGCATACTTTGATGTGGTATATGCCTCCAAGTTTCTTATATATTAGGACAGTATTAGGTACATATGATCATAGGATCAGATCAGGCTGAATTGTTCTGTAAATGGTTTATCATGATAAATAATAAATATAGCCCCTTCTATTCACAATGTATTCACACCAATCTAAAGGACACCTCTGAATGGATATTTTCTAATAATCTAACAATGATAAAAGATAATATTCTGGCCCTCATCATTTAATTATACATGTATAATATGACAAACTGTATTTACCTCACCAATTCTTTCTAAAGGCCATTGAACCAAATCAACTGCAGTTGACTACATTATGGTTACCGTACTACATCTTAGCATTGCGCTATCATTCAGATGAAAATGAACTGTACAGTATAAATGTAGGGACCATAATCTCACTCAACTAAATTCAAATACCCTAGATGGTATTGTGAGGAGCACTTTTCTTGACCTGGCCAATATTTTTATGAGGACCAGATTCCACTTGCGCTCACCAATATTTTAATTACCAGCACCATGCACTTTTTACTCGGTCTAAAAACCAACACTATTTGATGAACACTTTCTACATTTATTTAATTCTACAAAGACTTTATTAGGAGCACATTCTGATGGACCTTTTTGTAACTGCATGAAGGACCACTTTTTACTTAACCTACATATCATTATTATGTAAGGAGCACATGCCATGGGTATTTAACACTACTATTATTTTTTGAGAACCACACTCTTACATGCCTTCAAAGTATATTTAACATCTAAATATAAATACATGAACTACCTGAGGAAAATCTAGGTAACTTAACATTATCTTCATTCTGTATTGTGTGAATGCCACATTTTTTAATTTAATCTTGGAAATTCTTTGTTGTCGGAGGATTACTGTTCCTCACTACAATACTTTGTGTGTAATGAGGACACTACTGTTCATACCTTGATAATTGTGCCCTCCTGTTTTTTGGCCTGTTCCCTCTGTCTCTTCTCCATCTGTAACCCTAGTGACAGCTCCTCGAGGACCTTTCCTTTGATTCCCACCTCCTCGAGGACCTCCTCAGCAGCCAGTTCCCGTCGTCCTTTAGTGCTTCTCTTCTTCCTTTCTTGTCTTTTCTTATGTTGGAGAAGAGTGCGGAACATTCTCATCTATATTAAAAAAAGAACAACATAAGTAGAAATGGGAAGAATTTTGAAAGTTTCATGGTAGGGGAAGCTTTGATCATTAAATATCATTAAATAGAATAGAAATTTAAGTGTTTAACTTATATTTTTGGGGGAAAAAATTCATTGGCTACTTCTTAGAGAGTACATGTATGTGGCCCTTTATTTAGCTTCTGATTCACTTCAGTATTATAAATTAATTTTGATAGTCATTAACCGCTTTACCTGACGGTGGGAAATGGTCTGTCTCTTATCAAACACAGTCCAGATAACACTCTCAAAACATCCAGGTGTGGTCAGGGACCCATTGTAACGGAAATAGCGGGACGTATCCTCGGGGAGGAAGTTTCTGATGGGCTGGGCATCGATGCGGGCCTTGACCTTTGCTCCTGCAATGAACAACAAATTCTCTTCCTGTTTTGAACATCATAATGACTTTGTCTGATATCCATGTAGGTGTATATTTATTTGTTCTTGCTGATGAATTTCTGTGGTTAATTGACTGATTTTATATTACCTGGGTCTCTGACGGTGTTCATCGCATTAATGATCGGTTCCAATGCGGGATTGTCCTCATCTACAATCTGTTGATTTCAAATAGATAGTCATATATTATACAAAGAGTCTTTCTTGTGAGGTAAGCAACCTTTGTTTGCTTCATTAGTGTGAAATACTTTACTGAATGTTGAACTAGCTTACTGTTTATGGATGCTTTATTGCATTCATTATTTCTTTATGTGTTTATCTTCAAGATGATATACATGGAACACCTTTTTTTTAATTGAAATAAGTGTTAATTACAAAATCACAAAAAAACTCTACCAAATTTATTTTTGGCTATTTCCTAACAGTACTAAAACTGTACAGGTAATAAGTATTTATTCTTGTCTTTTTAATGAGTGCTTTAATTATTCCATTTTTTTAAAGTATTAAAATTTTGCTCTCGACTCAGTGTCTGGGTGTTTCCTTACCTCATACATCACTCCTAAGACTGCTAGACCCTCCGGCTGAACCATGGCTTCTGTGATCATGTCATATGTATCAGAATTATAACTCACTACATGGAGCTACAAGCAGAGGAAACACAGTCAAAGGGGAGTAACTCTAATTCAAAATTCTTGCTTCAATTTGTTTAAAACTAGAGTTATTTTTCTTTAAATATTACCTCCAATGGGCTGGCATGGCCATCAATCTTGTGTTCTGACCCATGGTCATTTTTGTGGCCCCAGTGGAAGTGGAACTGCACAGTGTTGTAGGTAGCCGGGAGACCACCATTTGTCACATAGAATGGACCCACTGTATCAACTTGGACTACAGTTTAGTAAAGAAAAAAGAGAGAAAGATGATATTAATTTAGTATTATTATGCCAGAAGTTGATGATCTGCTCTCCAATTTTTATATTTGAAACTTGATTTCATTTTGGTACATGATATTTGATACAATAATAGTTTACTTAAAATTTAAAACTTTACAGGTACTAGATTAAATATTGACATTTAATAATTTATTATACTTGATATTTGATATTTTTTATTTGACATTTGATACTTGATACTTTATTTGATTCAATTTTGCCATGCAAAGACAGAAAATACATGTACACTATATAATACACATAATACACATTACTTGTATGTCCATTGTTGGTGACATCAAAATATGAGCCTGGTTGAGGGGGGTCATGCCAGATAGCAAAGTCATTGAGGGAAGGGTCGTAGATTGCCTTCTCTCTCTGGATGTTGATGGGGGACTGACTTAATCCTGAACAGGCATTGTCAAACAGCTTGTGCCAATGCTGGGGACCTGAATTAACACAATAGGCAAAATTAAAATTTATTTGTACATTACAATTGCATGCATTTTTGCAATTTTTATCCTACATTAATTGTAATGTTAAGTGCTCATATATTTACAATATATTATCAAGAAATATAAGGTACCATTTTCAAACATTTACTGGGATATAAATATGTGATCAATGTTATTTAACGGAAAACATTCACAAATGTAAATATATGTAGATATCATAACAATCAACTACCTATAAACAACGATAACCCCATTTTTCGGTAGAGATATGGTAATACCTACATGTAAATATTTACACTTGTAATGAGTATCAATGACACCAATAAGAAAATAAAATTACCCTCCATGTTTTTAAAGAGACAGTTTTCACTGTGAAAAGACTGGACATGATTCTGAAGTAGATGTATACATGTACATAAAGAAGTAATCAGTATATTATATAATTCAGCCCCAATTTTAGTTTGATTTAGTTTTCTATGTATATATGTGACCTTGTTTTATTCCGATAAATAGTGTAAACTGAGGGGGGACGCAGTGGCTAAAGATGTTTTGGTTGTTAATCTAAGACATAAACTGGTCCACATATATGTCATAAGTCTGTTTTAAGTTCATGCAGTGATTGTTTTGAAATTTTGACATTTGGCATCTTATTTTTCAATCTAAATATTCATGATATTTGTTAACAGTTTTATTAAAAATACATGTAGAGAAAATCCTTCATTATATATATCATGTTGATCATTTAAAAGAAGGTGTGTCCATAATTTGTGGAATGTGTAAATAATATTTTGTAAAATATCAAAGGTTCATTCAGATTAATTTTTAATTTGATTACTGATTATTTGCAGATTTAGAAGAACAAGCATTATTTAATCCTATATTAATCATTATGTTAACAAGTGAACCCTTTATGTTTCCCTAGGTTAAAAGTGCATATGTGTCACTGAACTTTATAGAGCAATTAATTTCATTGTGTCTTTTTTGGCAGTAAAATCAAAAACATCTGTCAAAAGTAAGAAAATTAAGACTAAAGATAAAAATTCAAACTTATCAAATGTCATTATAGGCAGCATATATGTATGTAATATGATTTTGTTAGATTGAGGGTAAAAGAGCACATGTAATTTAATGTAAATACATGTATCACCTCTCTTTCCATATCTCAATCTCTCTCTCCCTTTCTCTCTCTCTCTCTCTCTCTCTCACAAACACACACACTCTAGCAAAAGAATATTCACAGACATGCAAATTTATAATTCATATAAGGTATGTGTTTGTGAAGAAATGCCATATACTTGTAGAACAAGAATATTATTTCCATGATAATTAATGCACATTTCAAATTATTCTTCCTATAGCAATGCCATCAAGTGCTCCCTGAAGTTTAGCAAACATCTGAGGTTATATGAACAAAGGAAAAAGAACGGAGATTAAAATATGAACAATAATGGGATGTTGAACCATGGTCTAAACTTTTATTTAACTGAGTTGCTCAAATATTTACTTTTTTGGACTGATTTATATCATTCTAGTATATTTATATTGTCAATCAAATGTTCAAACACTAAAAAAAATTTTGAGGGCCATTTTTGTGCACAGCTCTATGGACAATGCAATGTTTTACAAATCTATCACAAATACCCATAGAATATGTAGTAATTTTAGAATCTAGAAAACCTAGTAACATAAATAAAGGGGAAACCTAGCTTCATTTTATAAAGAAGTTAATTCATTATTCTGCTGTCATTTGTCTTGTGTACTGGTTAACAGTAATGTTTTCCTTAACTCGACCCATTTTGAACCCAGTCTAGTAAAGTCTCGAAAGTCATTTGTGGGACATATATCATCATTTCATTGAGGATAGTGAGAAAAAAGCTTTCTTGCCCTTAATGACCCCCTAAATACATCTAGCGTAACCTTTTCTCTCATTACTTGTGTGTATGAACATGGTATAATGTTAAATAGGACATATAAATTAATCCTGTCCAAAATTGCAATACATTTACAATGCACACCTGTCCAGAATATTCATAAAATGCATAAATTTTTGGGTGTAATATTTTGCTCATTGGGTGGTTTCAAGTACAAGTAATTAACTCTTATGTTAATTATTTCTAAACCTTACCACTTAATCCTATGATAATAGAATTTCTGGTAACAAATTTTCAAACCTTAATTACCACTTAATCCTATGATAATAGAATTTCTGGTAACAAATTTTCAAACCTTAATTACCACTTAATCCTATGGTAATATAATTTTTGGTAACAAAATTTCAAACCTTACCACTTAATCCTGTGTAACCCCAATGAGACCCCGCAGCATCTGAAACGGAATGGAAATTATTATTAGTGAAAACCATAAGAGGGGCACCTGATGTGTGTCATTCACATTTACATGTTCAATTTCTTAATTAATATAAAACATTAATACTAGTTAATGACTTAGACACCTATCAAGAGTTATTCCCCTTTATAAGGATTTTTCTTGATTGAGAGGAGTTCATCGATGTGGTTTGAATTTAAAAATAAATGCTGAAAAACAGATAAGAACAAATAAACAACAGTGTCTGCATTCATGCATTAGATTTAAAGCTTTCAATAAAAATATGCTGATAATGCCATTGAGTAAGCATGCCTTATAAAATTAAAAATACTTTATTTAATGAGTCTGTGTTATAAATATATAGAGTTCTAAATTAGTTTCTAAGTAATGGTGTGGTTTCACCTTCTTTCATTTCCTGTATGACTGTACAAAAGGGGGAGATGTGTGTCGTGTTTGCTCAGAGTTAAACAGATAAACATACACTACATTCCATATTTAAAATTCAAAAATAAAAATTGAATTTAAAAAAATATATATATATAAAGATATTAAAATAAAAATAATAATATTCAGCAATTAGTTAATTGCAGGGCTGTTTTATTTCATCAAGGACTCAAGGTGACTTTGTAAATAAATTCAGGATAAATGGAAAAAATAGTTGATTTTAAAGTTCTGTGAAATATTGATAAACTGAGATTAGGTAAACATGTACTTTTTAAAGGATTATTGATCATGATCTTAAAAAATGCAGAGGTTATTTTAGTACATATATGTTCATTCTTAAAAGACTCTTATTTGGATTGCCAAAATCTTTTATTACCAGGTGCCAAAAAAAGAAAAAGCTTTATGAACATCAAAATAAATATTACAAACACTATGGTATAAATTAATTAATATATTGTTTAAGAACCAGGTAAATTTTGATAGGGTTATAATGTTAATTTTCTTACCTGCCCAGGTGAGGTAGAGAGATAAAATCGCTAACACGACAGACATTGCTTGTTGAAGGGCAAACTTAGACTAAATGTGGGCTAAATTTGACAACTTGCATTTACAATGCTGAATCAAAAAGGGTTTGAGGCACAGTAGGGGACAACAATGTAAACTGATTAGAAGTCCAAAACAAAACAATTACAGAGTGCCTTTAGGGCAAAATCTCTAAGGGTCTGAAATTGAATGACATGTCTTTGAATCTGATATTTAGCTTTTATACTGAGTGACTCTTTTACATAATTATATTTATTTTTTTGAATGACAGGTGTTAACTTGCTTTGTCCTGGGATTACCTATTGTGTACTTACACTTTGATGAGTTACTACTCTCAAGGTATAAAAGAGCTCAATTATGTTACATAAAGAAATATGGAAAATGTGTCTTAATTTTGTACTTCTTGAAAGTATGAATTAAAAAAAAGGGGGGGGGGCAAATTTTTGGGATATACAGTATATGTATATATTTGTAAAAGAGAAGTAACTCCTAAAATTAAATGTAACAGCTGATAATTACTTATTTTCTTTGGTAGTCCTGCAGGCTGATAATGAGTTAAAAATATTTTAAGTAGCCATTAGTATAGTTACATAATTATTTAACTCATTATTTTATTTAATAACCAGTACCAGCAAATTGAATACATGTATATATTTTAGTTTGCTATGATAATTTTTAAAATATATCTATATTCATACCTGTAGGATAAATGCACATTAGGAGCAGAAAAATAATAATTTAACAGTCAGTAAAAACATTTATTCAGTAACAGCACAGTGAACAACCAAATACTTGAAGAGCTTTGTTCTATTGCTATCAGTTTATGCATTATCTTTAAAGTGCTGACAGTCACATGCAGATGTTATGTAACAGGTATATACCCTGTATTATGACCCTTAACTGAATGTGCACCAAGTGATATTTAAATCTTTAACAAAAATCAATTTCATTGACTGGGTAAGTATATATATTTAATTAAGATTGTGTACATTGATTAACCCCTGATTATCCCCTATATGGTTCACACACAGATTTTGATTTTATCAAAGTCCTTTAATTTTAATTGGGTGTCAAAGGACTCAAATACTTGTTTCATAAATTGAACAATTTTAAATCTTCCTGATCATTGCATGCACAGTCAATTCTGAAAAATCTCAGAGGCATGTTCATTGTTTTTGATGTTTGAATGACAGCTGACAAAGAGCATTACTCAAAGAGATAAGAGTTAAAACTTAAGTTTGTGTGGGGATGTTTTAAGAATCTAATTATTATGCATATGTGAAATTATATGTAAAAGCTAATGTACACTCCTTCAATATGATTATATTTCTTTCTTACTGAAAGGCAACAGAATTAAATGTGTGACCTGAAAAGACAGAAATATTAATTTTTTGATGTTTCCAAACTTCAAATCCAGAATCCACAGTTGTAAAGTTTAGTTAACACAATATCTTACATTACTTCTATGTTGTCCCTGTGTTATCAGAGTTTTTGGATGTAACTGTAATTTGTAGGATTTGGGCATCAGGTTTTTCAATTACCAATTTATCTCTTTCTAGTTTTAAATTTGGAGTAGGTAACCTAAACTTACATTTTTTTGACCAATTTATACTTAACACAGCTAGAAATTTGTTTTTTGACTGTGGGTTCAGATTTGAAATTGTCACCTGCAAGTTGCAGTGGTAAGAGCATTTGCTCTAGAGTCGCGGAGAAAGGAGTTGATCCTTACGTCACAGGTTCGAATCCCACTGCGGGATGTGGAGACCAGTCCTTCAGATGAGACTGTATTAACTGACGTCCTGTGTCACAGTAGGTGCTGGCACAAAAGATCCCTCACTGCTCAATGGCCCTGAGTGCCATAAGGTCTAAATTTGCAACCCTCCACCGGTAAGTGGTGGTGTCTCCATATGAGTGAAAAATTCTCGAGAGGATTGTTAAACAACAACAAACAAACAGATTTGAAATTTGAATGTATAAATGAAAAATTAATATTTTAAATTTATTTGACATATATGAATAAAAAAGATATTAAACATAAACTACTAGTATGAGAGAAAAATTGTCATTCAGTATTTCCATCATTGCACATCCTACTCTTGGGGGGTGGGGTGGGGGTGGTCAAATTTTGCTCTTGGACTGACAGCAATTGAAGACTCTTGTTATCTAATCAGATTGGATTTTCTCACATTTTTACATAATTGATATTTTAATTTTTCTAATATACATTGGTATATTTTTGAAAAAGTATTATTTACATGAAAAAGGTGAAGATGATGAACAATAATCAAACTCATAAATTCAGTAAAGAATACAAACAAGGCAAAAAACATAAGGACTGGTGTACCTCTGGAAACACCAGAGGTGGGATTAGGTGCTTTGTAGGAGTAAGCTTCTTCTGTCGACCATTCACACTGACTGTGAGCCCTCTGAATTGATCAGATAAGCAGTGTAATCCCTTCTCAGAATGCCTTACAAAGTTCTGATGGGAAACATGTTAGCTATAGTCTAAAGACAAGCCAGAGATAGGTTGTTTTATTTGCAAATAAGGTCATGCATTGTAACAAACATAACATTTGCAATATGCTGACTTTACTCTGAACAAGATAGTTAAAACCCTGTAACATTAACTTTTTGTCAGTAGCATATCACACTGTTACCTGGCATGGAATTCATATGTTTCACACTATCACTGATAATGTTGGAAGGCCTTTTTTCTAGAAACATTAGTGATCATGCAGAGAATAATATTGTTATCTGCTCTCTGATTGTGCTGTGAAATTTTCAGGGACTAGAATTATAAGGAAGGTGATGTCAATAGCATATAATGCATATATAGATATCAAAGTAGATTAATGGTGTATGACTCATGATTGCAGAGATTTATTTCCTTAAATTTCTGTTAAACACAGAATTTGGTTCTCTAACCTTTCAAGTCCTAGCTGACTTTTCATTTAAAGACCAAAAAAGATAACAGATCACTCTGGGATCTTTGCCTTTTGGGAAATGGGAAAGGAAATAGAATTCTTTGATATATCAAATCTTGGACTGCAAAATGCTTATCTGCAGAGAAAATCAGGAAATGGAATTCAAATTTCAATTTTGATAGGACATCCTAAATCCGAATAGTTCTGATAGAACAGAAAAACCTTCATATCCCTATACTGATTTATAAACCTGAGGGGCTAGACCTGTGATAGGGTAATAAATTCTCACACTGTTGGACATTTAGTAAATAATATTTATCATAAAAATGTCAGATTGTCCAGGCCGGCTTAATTATACTCAGAGCATGATAGCCAACATAATGAAGTCAGTATATTAACAGTGTATACACAGTCAATCTAGTTCATATCTCCTGTATTTGATTTCCTTATCAGTAAATATAGAGTATTGATATTTGGTTTTAAGAAACAGAAATCCAAGCTTAATTGATCAAAAGTCAAGGTAAAAGGCCAGTATATTGATGGGACATCTTTAAAGTTACAATACATCCGATAGTTATATACATTAGTAGGATTGTCTTTACCGGTGACAGGTGCTCTTAAATCTTTTTCTTGTTTATCACTTACTTCTATAAATCATGGTCAATTTGGCTACTGTGTAAAACTGGTAGTGAGAGTATAATGTCATTTTAGTGTGACATGCTGATCTTTGTCCATTTTTCAGCTTCTATAATAGAGGGTAATTAAACTGGTAATAAATGTTTTACAATGTTTAATGTTCGTTAAATTGCAGTTTGGATGCATGGCTATTATGTTTCTTTTTTTAAAGTAAGATTTTCAGTCTTTATAAGGGGCATTAAAGAGAGGAGGCCTATAGCTACTAGGGTTATATAAAATACTGCAAATAGGCATGATGAGTAAATGCATTACTCAATGATTACCTGAACATATAGTATGACAGACAAGTTTTACTTGGTAGTGATCACATGATGTAGCTCAAGCAACATAACTAGCTGATAGAATTTAAAAAAAAATGTATGATTTTTTGCCCTCCCCCACCTCTTAAGTCCTTTTACACATTTTCTGTTTAACAAATATTGTTTAAATTTGTTATTGATGTGTTGTAGGTCAGAAGGAAACTCATGATGCTTTCTGCCAACATCTGGATGAACAACTTTCCTTACACAATACTGTCTATGTCATCAACCTGGCTGAACTCACAGGCAAAGAGAAGGAACTCAGTGATGCATACGTCAATCACATCATTGAGTATAACTCACCTGACATCACCTATACCTCTTTTGATTTCCATGAGCATTGGTGAGTTTATATATACAATGATATGGAAAATCTGATTTGCACTTCAATTTTGTAGCAATTTTCTAAGGAAGTGTAACTCAGGTGAGCTCTGTGACCTATGGGCCTTTAATGTTGATTTAATTACAAATGTTCTTACATCTTATATAAAGTATAGAAGTGTTGTAGATTATTTTAGGAAGACTTGAAAAAATTATACTGTTTATTTTCAGTCGGGGTATGAAGTTTGAGAATGTCTCCATTTTGACTGACGGGGTCACTGACATGCTCAAGGTCATGAGGTACTGCTGGTGAGTACTTTTATTATTTTTTTTCAATGTCTCTACTAGTAAAAAGTTACTTTTGATGTAAAATTCTAGATAAAATGAAATTTTTTGCTTGCACATGATTCTTCAAATTCTGTGTGCATGAATGTACACTCTTCTGCTTATTAATTTTTGAGAACTGATAAACACAGGCATTTAGTTCAGAAGAGTTCTGTGTCTTTTGAAGGTTGAACAAGGACAGTGCAATATGTGAACAGAGAGGGGTGTTCAGAGTCAACTGTGTAGACTGTCTAGATAGAACAAATGTCAGCCAGACTGCTATAGCTAGAATCGTCATGGAAACACAAGTATGCAAATATTCTAAACCTCTCAGTCATTTTCATTTTCAAACCTTTTTAAGTATTGAATTTTAAAATTGTAACAACTTGAAATGGTTCTCTATGTCAATACAGTTGAGGAAACTTGGTATTCTGCCCCCAGATGAGACTCTCCCCACAAACTGTAAGAGGATTTTCCAGGTCCTCTGGGCCAACAATGGTGATGCCATTAGTAGACAGTATGCTGGAACAGCTGCTTTAAAGGTAGTTGTCACTCTCACTAGAAAACAAAGGAGACTGCATGGTTCTTTAGAATAGCATCAAACCTTAATAGAAATAACCAGATCTGTGAGGTAATGTTAATATTGGACCAGCAGTACATGTAATAACCATTAGGAAGAAATGCATTAAATTTCAAAAACTTTGAATATGATATTTACAGACTATATTGCCACAAAGTAATTCAACAAGTTGGGTTCATTTTATATTAGCATGACAGGATAGAGTCTGACCTAACTCATCACAGAGGGTTTAACTTTAAGCAAATACAAAGTTATTCTCTTATTATTTACTCAGATATTAAAAATTACATAATAATTTGCATCAAAGAAAGTAAAATATGGTAATTTATGGGTTGTTTTAAAATAGATAAAAATTTCACCTTCTTTTGGTTTATATGATAAAGTGTACAACAAGGTTGCCTTCTTCTTCCATTGTTGTTTACATGTATATTTGAAAAGAAACCATAGTCATGTAATTAGTAATACATAATGTATTATATTACAGTGGATTGAGACTAGCTAGAAATGCTTTAATGTTAAATGGATCTTTTTATCACACTTTGCAAAGCATAATGATACTTTGGCATATGTTATCCACTACAACTTTCCTTTTTCAAACTAATGCCATTCAAAGTTCTCTTTTTCAGATGTGATGAAGATGTGTCTTTCATTGCTGTTACTAGTTCCCAAACCTTTTTCAGAAGGTCAATCCTACTTGCATGGACTTTCTAAGCATGAATCTTTTTCTTTCATTCAGGGGGATTATACTAGGACAGGTGAAAGAAAAATCACAGGCATGATGAAAGATGGTGTTAATTCTGCTAACAGGTACAGAACTCAGTCACAAGCTGCTGTGCACCTTGGATGCATGATAGCAGTATAATTTTGGTCAAAAGGTTTCACATTTCTAGTTTTAGATTTTTTGTTACCTTCTTCACATAAGCATGTTTACTCAAGCTTCAAATGTCTGGGTTTTGTTTTCTTTCTTTTTAAAACAACTGTATGAATTTATTTTAAAGCTAGCAATTAAGTCATGTCTTAAAAATTTTTCAAGTGAATGATATTGACAACATGTCCAATGGAAGCATCAATCTCCGGATACCCATGGGAGATCTCATCTTTTACTCATCACCCGATGGCAAACTCCCTGAAATATTGTTGTAAAATTTGCTTATTTATTGATTATAGACAACCAATCAGAAAATTGGAACTCTTCAAGTTTGAAAATATGTTTATTAGTTAAAAGGTGCAAATTTTGTTTTTTAAATGATTAAAGACAAATCGTACTTACAACAAATACCAGTAAGAAATTATATGGGAGTACCTTTCTCAAACTGCAGAATGCACTGGTGAGTGGATTTATTTGCAATCCTGTGTTAACTATGGAAAAGTTTTATCATATTGCTGAACATACATACATACGTAACGTAAACTTTAATTTGTTGATTTGCCATTATGACTTTGTGGAGCAGCCAATCAATTGACCCGTGCATCTCATTCTTAATCTCAGATGAGATTATATACGAGGATTTTTCGGCGAGTTTGCCCACGGGTGTTGAGTAAAAGACAAGATCACCCATGGGTATCCAGTGATGACTGAAAGTTGTAATGTTTTTCATGGACTCTTTTAAAATTCCAAGATTTCTTTCTACAGAAATTCCCTCTCTGGTATTTGTTTGACCGCACAATTTCATTGACCTAATAAAACAAGATTACATACATAGAGTAAAAAAAAGGCAAATAATAAATTCAGATTTCAAATTTATGTTACAAAGAATGCACCATGTTCTTTAAAACTTTTTATTAGGTCACCTGAGTCACTCAGGTGACCTATTGCTATCTGTTTTCATGCGCCGTCCGTCGGCCGTAAACTTTAATTTGTACCTTTTCATTTTCTTCTCTTGAACCACTGAAGAAATTTCAACCAATTTTGGCATGTAGCATCAATGGGTGAAGGGGTACAAAAATTGTGAATTTCATGGTCCCTGCCCCCCTGGGGCCTAAGGGGTTGGGCTAAAACCATCAAAATTAGTGCTATCTTTAAAAATCTTCTTCTTTACTCCTGGGCATCAAGCAGTCAAACTGTTGGCATGATTGTAATAAGCATTGAGCCCTCTACCAAAATTGTGAAATTCATGGCCCCAGAGTTAGGGGTTCTGGTGTTAGGGCAGGGCTATATAGATCATATAGTGAAAGTGCATTATTTCTTTGAGAATCTTCTTCTCTACTCCTGGGTATTATTGAAACAAATTAAATACATAGTTATCATAAGCAAGAGTGACTCTACCAAAAATTGTAAAATTCATAGCCCCAGGGCCAGGGTTTCTGATGTTAGGGTGGGGCTCTATTTATTATATAGTGAAAATGCATTAATTCTTTAAAAATCTTCTTCTCTGCTCCTGGGTATTATTTAAACAAACTAAGTACATTGTTATGATAAGCAAGGATGCCTCTTCTAAAATTTTGAATTTCATGGCCCCAGGGTCAAGGGTTCTGGTGAAAAGGGTGGGAGGGGCTCTTTTGATTATATAGTGAAAAAGCAAAATTTCTTTGAAAATATTCTTTTCTGCTTCTAGTTAAAAAGCAAAGAAGCTAAGTGTATAGTTATGATGAGCAAGAGTGCTTCTTCCAGAGTAGTAAATTGCATGACCCCTGGGTCAGATGTGCTGGTGTAAGGATGGGGCTCTTGATAATACAGTAAAAATTCATTAATTCTATTAAATAATCCTGTCTGCTCTTTAGTGTTAAGCAGATAAACAAAGTGATTACTTATGATGAGCAAACTTCTGGTCCCAGGGTCAGAGGCTCTGGTGTTTCTCGGTGTAAGGGGGGGGGGATCTTCTCTGCTCCTAGGCATATCAGAGGCAGAGTAAAAGTTTTAATAAGGAGGGGTATTTTTACCACATTTTTGAACATCTGGACCATTTGGTCAAGTGTTCTGGTCCTGGCCAGGGATCTATTAATTTGTATTCTACTGAGAGGAGTTATTCCCTTTTGCCATATACTTTTGATAATTAATCACGGTAAATAATGTACTTGAAAGGTTAATAGAATAAGAGAATTATGCAAGAATATTTATTGTATAATACAAAAAGTACTTTCATAGTTTTAATGATCAGGTAGACTTGTAAGTACTAGATAAATAAAAATGAGACAAAAATAACTTGTCTTATTAGATATTCATTAAAGACCAAGAGAAACCAATGTAAGCGATTTCAACAAGGAATTAAAATAGTACAGAAGCACTGATAGTTTGTTAATATACTGTATGGTGATAGTGATAAATGGGGAACAGATTAGAACCTAATTTATGAACTGTTAATGAATACTAGACTAATTATTTTATTGATCCTGATCACCCTATTTTTCTTGCTTTGGGCAACAAAGCTTCACCTTTCAGTTCATTTTTAGGTCACCTGAGTCACTCAGGTGACCTAATGCTATCCGTTCTCGTCCGTCGGCGTGCGTCGTGCGGTGTGCGTCGTGTGTTAACATTTGAACATTTTTAGCTTCTTCTCTGAAACCGCTTAACCAATTTCAACCAAATTTGGCATATAGCACCTTTGGGTGAAGGGGAACAAAAATTGTGAATTCCATGGTCCCTGCCCCCCTGGGGCCTGAGGGGTGGGGCTAAAACCACCAAAAATAATGCAATCTTTAAAAATCTTCTTCTTTACTCCTGGACATCAAGCAGTCAAACTGTTGGCATCATTGTAATAAGCATTGAGTCCTCTACCAAAATTGTGAAATTCATGGCCCCAGGGTCAAGGGTTCTGGTGCTAGGGTGGGGCTATATAGATCATATAGGGAAAGTGCATTATTTCTTTGAAAATCTTCTTCTCAGCTCCTGGGTATTAAATAAAGTAACTAAGTACATAGTTATGAAGAACAAGAGTGCCTCTTTCAAAATTGTGAAATTCATGGCCCCAGGATCAGGGGTTCTGGTGTTAGGGCGGGGCTCTATTGATTATATAGAGAAAATGCATTAATTCTTTGAAAATCTTCTTCTCTGCTCCTGGGTATTAAATAAATTTACTAAGTATATAGTTATGATGAGCAAGAGTGCCTCTTTCAAAATTTTGAATTTCATGGCCCCTGGGTCAGGGGTTCTGGTGTTAGGGCAGGGCTCTATTGAGTATATAGTGAAAATGTATTAATTCTTTGAAAATCTTCTTCTCTGCTCCTGGGTATTAAATAAAGTAACTTAGTACATATTTATGATGAGCAAGAGTGCCTCTTCCAAAATTGTGAATTTCATGGCCCCAGGGTCAGGGGTTCTGGTGTTAGGGCAGGGCTTTATTGATTATATACATTAGTTAAAATGCATTAATTCTTTGAAAATCTTCTTATCTGCTCCTGGGTATTAAATGAACTAATTTAGTACATAGTTATGATGAGCAAGAGTGCCTCTTCCAAAATTGTGAATTTCATGGCCCCAGGGTCAGGGGTTCTGGTGTTAGGGCGGGTCTCTATTGATTATATTGTTAAAATGCATTAATTCTTTGAAAATCTTCCTATCTGCTCCTGGTTATTAAATGAACTAATTTAGTACTTAGTTATGATGAGCAAGAGTGCCTCTTCCAAAATTGTGAATTTCATGGCCCCAGGGTCAGGGGTTCTGGTGTTAGGGCGGGGCTCTATTGATTATATAGTGAAGATGCATTAATTCTTTGAAAATCTTCTTATCTGCTCCTGGATATTAAATGAACTAAGTTAGTACATATTTATGATGAACAAGAGTGCCTCTTCTGAAATTATGAATTTCATGGCCCCAGGGTCAGGGATTCTGGTGTTAGGGTGGGGCTCTATTGATTATATAGTGAAAAGGCATTAATTCTTTGAAAATCTTCTTCTCTGCTCCTGGGTATTAGATAAACTAACTTAGTATATAGTTATGATGAGCTAGAGTGCCTCTTTCAAAATTTTGAATTTCATGGCCCCAGGATCAGGGGTTCTGGTGTTAGGGCAGGGCTCTATTGATTATATAGTAGAATTGCAATAATTTTCTCTGCTCCTGGGTATTAAGTACATAGTTATGAAGAACAAGAGTGCCTCTTTCAAAATTGTGAATTTCATGGCCCCAGGGTCAGAGGTTCTGGTGTTAGGGTGGGGCTCCATTGATTATATAGTTAAAATGCATTAATTCTTTGAAAATCTTCTCTGCTCCTGGGCATTAAATAAAGTAACTTAGTACATAGTTATGATGAGCAAGAGTGCCTCTTCCAAAATTTTGAATTTCATGGCCCTTGGGTCAGGGGTTCTGGTGTTAGGGCAGGGCTCTATTGATTATATAGTAGAATTGCATTAATTCTTTGAAAATCTTTTTCTCTGCTCCTGGGTATTAAATAAACTAACTAAGAACATAGTTATGGTGAGCATGACTGCCTTTTCAGAAATTGTTTCATGGACCTTGGGTCAGGGGTTCTGGTGTTAGGGCAGGGCTCTATTGATTATATAGTAGAATTGCATTAATTCTTTGAAAATCTTTTTCTCTGCTCCTGGGTATTAAATAAACTAACTAAGAACATAGTTATGGTGAGCATGACTGCCTTTTCAGAAATTGTTTCATGGCCCTTGGGTCAGGGGTTCTGGTGTTAGGGATGGGCTCCATTGATTATATAGTAAAATTGCATTAATTCTTTGAAAATCTTCTCTGCTCCTGGATATTAAATAAACTAAGTACATAGTTATGATGAGCATGGCTGCCTCAGAAATTATGAATTTAATGGCCTCTGGGTAAGGGGTTCTGGTGTTAGGGCGGGGCTTTATTGATTAGATAGGGAATTGGCATGAATTCTTTCAAAATCTTGTGTGCGCCTGGGTATTTTTCAAACAAAGGAAGTGCATGGTTATGATAAGGAAGAATGCCTCATGGCCTTTGGGTCAGGGGTTCTGGTGAGGGGGAAAGAGCTCTATTGATTATATATAGTGAAAATGCATAATTTCTTTCAAAATATTTTTTCTACTACTGGTTATAAAGTAAAGAAACAAGTGTATAGTTATAATGAGAAAGGGTGCTTCTTCCAGAATTGTGAGTTCGTGGCCAATGGGTCAGATGTTCTGGGTAAGGATGGGGCTTTATTTATTTAATTTTATGGTGAAAATGCATTTCTTTGAAAATCTTCTATGCTTCTGAGGATGTTCAAGGCAAACAGAGTAAAAGTTTTAATATGCAAGGGTATTTTTACCAGATTTTTGAACACCTGGACCATTTAGTCAAGTGTTCTAGTCCTGGCCAGGGCTCTATTAACTTGTATTCTGCTGAGCAAAGTTATTCCCCTTTGCCATTCACCTTTGATAATTAATCAATGTAAATAATGTATTTGAAAGCTTAATAGAATAAGAGAATTATGCAAGATAATTTATTGTATAATGAAAATGTACTTTCATAGATTTAATGACTTGGAAAGTCAGATAGGCAGATAGATACTATACCAATTATTTTGTTGATGCTAATCATACTATTTTTCTTGCTTTTGGGCAACAAAGCTTCATTTTTCAGTTTATGGATCCTCTAAATTGTTGTATTGTACTCAGGTGACCGTTAAGGCCCTTGGGCCTCTTGTATACTCTATGGATCCTCTAAATTGTTGTATTATACTCAGGTGACTGTTAAGGCCCTTGGGCCTCTTGTGTTTATTGAAATCCATTAAAGCTCTACATGTATTTTATTAGGAATGTTTTTTGCAAGTCTATCGAAAATATAAGTAATATGTGTTACAGCTATCATTCTTAAATATCTATCAGGATATAGATACTGGTTGGTACGTGATCAAATGTGCTAAAAAGCCCTTAATGCTTTATGGGATTTGATCACATAACCAAAAAGTATCTATCTTTATTCTCAATGATTAAAGATGATGCACTCACTTCATTCTTAAATGTATGCCATTCAGGTTTGGAAAAAAAAAAACATTCTGAATGAGCATACTGTTAGATAATGTTAAGAGGGTATTCTAACACAAAAAAAAATCTGAAATTTGCTACAAATGTTTATAATTGGTGATCCATTTACTTAATTTGTTCTCTTCATGAGCATTATCAGATGTAAATGATTTTTCATAAATTTCCATGATCTTCTGTCTCTAGATACTATCTACGGTTCCGTGACAGTTATAGACAGGCCACCATTGACCTGATGCTCGGTCAGCTGGTCATCACGGATGCCATGATGCTGTCCTCAGACAAGCTGGACACCTCTGAGGGCGAGGATGAGGAGGAGGACACTAATGAACTATTGGAGAAAGAGGAGAATCTCAAGATGCTGATTGAGGATGCCAAAAAAATGTTGATCATTGAACCGGAACAGTGTATGGGGGGCTGGAGTCTCATCAATGCAGACCCACAGTATGTTTTACAAAACTATGAAAAAAGGGGGAGGGTATTTAATCATTAGTTACCCATGTTTTACAGAACTGCAAAAAATGAGGAGGGATTTTAACCCAAACATATTTGGGGGTGGGAGGTGGGGTGGCAGAAGTTTAATAAGTGCAGACCCATAATATTATTTACAGAATTGCTGTGATATTGGGGATGGGGTGGAGGACAACATTTTAATCAATGCAGTTCCATTGTATGTTTTACAGAACACTTACGGGGGGGGGGGGGGGGGGGGGGGCAGTTTCATCAATACAGATCTAAGTATATTTTGCAAAACTGTGAAAAGGTGGGAAATAATGAATGCAGAAACAAAGTGTGTATAGCACAAATGTGATATGAATAGGAGAGGGAAGGGGCTGAAGTTTTGTCAGTGTAGATGTACAACAAAACCTGGTTAAAAGGGAAAAGGGAGATGAAAATTTTATGATGTATGATGACTTTCTTTTGAGAGAGGGGGTTATATCATTAATCACTTTCACAACAAATCTCAAAATTGATTTGATGACCGTGTTTTTTTTTGTTTTTTTTTAGGAAATTTTGATCAAGAATGTGAAAAATGTTAGTTTGATATAAAGTGAGAAATGGTTCACCTATAGTTTTATGTGCTCCTTTACTGCTTTTCTTTTAACACTTCTTGAAGAAAGGTCATTAACTTAACATTGCAGTCAAAGTCATTATAAACCACTCCATCATGACTAATATATTCACAAAATGCTTTGCTTTATGAACAGTTAAAGGGGAGAAACTCTGATATAATAACGTGATAGAAAATGTTTATATTTTGATAAACAATTTATGTCTGACTTGTTCTTATAGTACTAATTTTTAGCTCATCTGAACTGAAAGCTCAAGTGAGCTTTTCTGATCACATTTTGTCTGGCATCCGTCTGTTCATGGGTCTGTCTAACTAGCTGTCTGTCCATCTGTAAACTTCTCACATTTTCAACTTCTTCTCAAGAACCACTCGGCCAATTTTGACCTAACTTGCCACAAAGCATCTTTGGGTGAAGAGGATTCAAATTTGTTCAAATGAAGGGCCACACCCTCTTTCAAGGGGAGATAATTTAGAATTTGTGAAAATTTGGTGTCATCATTCAAAAATCTTATTTTCAAGAATCATTTGGCCAGAAAAATTGAAACTTAAGTGAAACCTTCATTACATAGTGTAGATTCAAGTTTGTTCAAATCATGACCCCTGGGGGTAGGGTGGGACCACAATGGGGGATCAAAGTTTTATCTAGGAATATGCAGGAAAAATCTTTAAAAATCTTCTTCTCAAGAACAACAAATCCACTATGAGTCATATTCATATGGAATCATCCTCAGGTAGTGTAGATTGAAGTTTGGTAAATCATAACCCCTGGAATAGGATGGGGCCACAATGGAGGATCACATTTTTACTTAGGAAAATCTTTAAAAATCTTCTCAAGAACAATAAAGCCACTATTAGTCATATTGATATGGAATCATCCTCAGGTAGTGTAGAATCAAGTTTGTTCAAATCATGATCCCTGGGGTTAGGGTGGGGCTACAATGGGGGATCACATTTTTACTTAGGAAAACAGAGCAAAAATCTTTGAAATTCTTCGTCTCAAGAACACTAAAGCCTTGATAAGTCATATACTGTAACTTGTTTTAATTCCACGGTGTTAAAATTTCATGATTTCTCAAAAAGTACCAACTGCGATGGTTTTAATTTCACGCTGCAAGAAATTAATTTAGTTTCGTATAAGTATTTAAACGTTTTTAAAAACTAATGATAGCATTCACTATGGGTTTAATTTCATGGAAAATGATGAATCGCGAACATAGTGAAATAAAAACCATTGTGATTATTAATGCCAATGTAGAGTATATAAGGAGGCATTCTCAGGTAGTGTAGAATCAAGTTTGTTCAAATCATAACCCCAGGCACAGGGTTGGGTCACAATGGGTAATCAAAGAATTACATAGGAATGCATAGAAAAAATCTTTAATTATAAAATCTTCTTCTCAAGAAAAGCAAAGCCAAGTATAGTCACATTTATGTGATAGCATCCTCAAGTAGTGTAGAATTAAGTTAATTCAAATCATAACCCCCAGGGTCAGGGTGAGGCCACAACAGGGGTTCAAAGTTTTACAGAAGAATATAAAAAATGTATATTTGTATGTACAAAAACTTTCTTCTCAAGAACAAAAAAGCCATGACTTGTCTTATTACCGGTAATTCAGAAGCATCCTCAGGTAGTGTAGATTCAAGAATTTTTAAATCATGTTTCCGAGAAAGGACAAGCCCCACCTCCTCCCTCCGCAAACCACTTTTATATTTAAACATTTCAATACTGAACTGAATTCTGCTTTTCCTAGCTAAAGTGCTCAGGTGAGCAATGTGGAACATGGGCCTCTTGTTCTAGGTAATGATTGCTACAGACAAAATCCGAGTTGTCCTTGTGATGATGTGTTCTGTTCCTTTGATTTTTGGGACTATTTTTTCCCGTCACTTGTTTAACAAAGCCTTTCTTTCATTTTGTTTGTAGGAAGGGAGAATAGGACTGACAAGATATAGGATATAGACATCTTCCTCCTCACTAAGTTTTGTTCTTTGTTTGTAGGACAGGAGATGAGGACCGACTCGATATGGACATTATCCTTCTCTTTAAGTTTTGTTCTTTGTTTGTAGGACAGGAGATGAGGACCGACTAGATATGGACATTATCCTCCTCTTTAAGTTTTGTTCTTTGTTTGTAGGACAGGAGATGAGGACCGACTCGATATGGACATTATCCTGCTCCTCAGTCAGAGGTCGGTGTACGTGGCCTGGTACGATGATGAGGAGGAACAGATCGTACAGTACCAGAGAATCTTCCTGGAGGACATCGTCAAAATGGAGTTAGGTCTGTCTATACATTGAATATGTAGCTCACTGTCAAAGAATTAGAAGCTGTAATAAAAACATAGGTAATCAAAGATTAAGGAGCTCACCTTCACAAAGGTTATCTATTTGTAAATCAAGGTCTTGCATGAAATAACTGTTCTGGTATTGCACATCCATAGATGCATCACCCATTCAATTTACGTCATTATTACTTGGGAATGAATCTGTTCCATTGCTGTAACATGCAATGACAAAAAAGCATTAAAAGCAATTTATTTCTGAACAGAGTTAATTTTCCTATACATGTATTATCAATACTTTCAAGTACAGTGTATATACTTGTATTCATTAACAATGGTCATGCAAATATATGTTTTAAAAGATAATTGTGTCTGCTTTTTTACGTTGCTCAGTGTGCATGATTTTCAGTAGGAATGTTTATTTTATTAACATACAAAAAGAAAATAAAGTTTCATCTTCATGTTAAAGTACTGAAGTTCTTGACCAAATCACCACAGGTGCAGAGCCTTCCATTTTTAAGTCAAAGTTTGTGTGTTTGAGAATTCATTACCAGCACTATGCGGAAGATGGCTTCTTCCATACATTCAGAATACCTCGTACAAGACTCTTCAACAACATGATCATCACTGTTAAAAATACAGAAGATGCTAGAGGTACATGTAGATATAATGATAGAAAATGCATGATAAAATTTTGCAATTAACAAGGCCTAGTAATTTTAACTCTAGATATTTATGCAATCATTTATCATATTTAAGAAAAGAATGTGTGAAAAATACTATTCATGTATTCACCAAGATTTTATTCATATTACATTGCAAATTGAATTGTAGAAAATCTTAAGGCAATACACCAGGCTTTTGCTGCAGCCCAAGAAATTTTGTCACTGAAACTTGAGCTGGAAACTAAAACCAAGTTGGATAGGTGAGTTAATGATATCAGCATATGTGTACTTTTTTAATTACCTTTAATACAGTCATTTTTTTTTTTTTTACTGTAAAGAAAAAAATATTATGCCTAAGAGAAGGAAGATTTTGTGTTTTATAGAAAATAATATTAAGGTTCATAAACCCTCTGCTCTGCACTCATGTAAAATGTTTCTTTAATTTTTATATTTTCCAAAAGAAATGTATTTGTTAAGTAAAATACAAGCAGTTATAGCATATAGCTTGCAGGGCAAAATTGGACAAAAAAGACACTTCAACTTGACAAATTTATAAAGGAATAATAGATTATTATTTATGTCATTAAGAGTTATCTCTCTTATCAGAGTATCAATGAACCTTAAAGTGGACTTTTCAATGATTGAGATATTATATGGATGTATTAAAGAGGGAATTTCAATCATCATGTTTAAGCATGGGTGTTATTTTTTCACAGATTTCTCTAAATAAAGCACTTTTTTGCAGGAAGAAAACAAAACCACATCCAGACATCCAGAACATTTATGTAGAACAACAGGAGAAAACTCTGAGTAACTTACATGTACCACGAGATGTTTCTGCTGGGGAATTAACTAAACTATCAGGGTCAAACACACCCAGGTCAAGGTCACTTAGAAATAGTCCAAGGTCAGCTAGTCCAGTGATGTCATCACCAGTCAGCAGTCCTAGTCAGCAAAGGAAGAATCTCTTTCCAAACTTCTCCAACATCACAAAAAATATCAGCTCTGGGATAAAGCTTCCTAAATTTAATCTGCCAAAACTAGACACAAGAACAGACGCCCAGGAGCATGCTGGGAAGGCTGAGGATAAAGTGGAACATAAAAACAGGAGTGACAACTCTGGACGACTGTCTCGACTCAGCTCTCATGGGAGTCGAGATGACAGCGAGATAGACATGAAAGACAGAAGCTCTCGAGATCTTGATGACATGGTTCTAGCTTCCTGTGGAATTTTAGAGACTCACAATATCTTAAATGCAGACCTTTCACAAGAACAAAATATCAACTCTGAACAAAATGTTAACTCCGATACTGAGGATGATCAGCCTGTTAAAGAAGGACCAGATGAAGACAATGCAGCATTGAGAACAGAGTCTGAGAAAATCAGTCAAATTCCTAAAATAAAAATCATAACTCCAAATACCACCACAAGAAAAATGCGGAGAATTATTGACGCCATTGAACAGGAGCTGCAGGCCAAGGTTGGAGACAGGGAATGTTTGACACAGTTTATATTCTTATGAAATTAGCTTGATTTAATTAGTCTAGACACTTCAATATAGTGGCATTTATGAATCCATGTACATTTAATATCATATCAAGACTTTACACCATTTTTTTTAATTTATTAATATTTTTTAGTTTTGTTTATCTGTGATACTAGTATACCCAATAAGCAGATAATTTTTTTCTTTCAATATGAAAAAATCACAAATATTTTTTAAGTATACATGTACATTTTTATTTTATCTGATTTTAATTAATTAATACATGTAATTTCAAACTTTTGACTGATAATTAAAATTTATGAAATGAAAAGTATGATCAATAGCACCTTTATTGGCTATACACTGAACAAATTTTTATCTGAGATTTAATGTTTAATTGATTCTCTCTAGGAACTAAATTTTGAGTCATTTTAAATGTTGTGGAATTTTTCACCTGTAACTTGACATATTTGGACAACGAATTTGTGAGCTTCACAACGAAATTCACTTTTCTTTCATTTTCCCTCTGGCTAAGTATAGATTGAAGTATGTAAATTCCATCTTATTTTTTATGATTTATTGCTTGATACCAATTCCATAAATATTTACATTATTTATTAATGCTGCACATTTTAAAATCAATTTTCTATATTTGCATTAAATACTCCATTCTAGTGCAATATTTTGAAAACAATATACTAGTAAATGAGCACATTTAGTTTACAGTTACTAATACTAAAGTAGAATTAATTTTTTTACGAGGGCTTGGTAAAGGGAAACTGCAAAAGTAATTAAGCTTTCATCTACAAAAGATAGCAGGAGTGTAGTGGTATATTTAGGGTTAATTTAATTAATTCACAATGATTGACCTTTCATTTTAAGCATATGCACTAATTGATAGCATGGCAATATGTATAGAAGTGTGTTCAAAATTTTGGGATTTTTTAGCAATTGGAATATTATTTGCATTATCATATGCATTTCAGCAGTTAATTAGGCTTAAGATTTGATGAAGATTTTTACTACAGAGGGCATTTCTTAAATGAATGCAGTAAACCTTATTTATAGGGAAACTTTTTTAAAGAAATCACTAAATTCAAGGTTTAGATTAAAATTCCCCAGCCATCCATAATATAGAACTTGAATATCAGGATTTTTTTCTTTTTTTCTCAAGTTAATGAAGCATGAATTTTAGAGTACATGTATGTAATTTTTTTTCTTTTCAAATACTGAGATTTCTGTGAGTGTTTATTATTATCATTTTAGTGTGTTTTGTATATCTGAAATTGAAATCTTAATTATCACCCTAATCATAAGTTACTAAATACAGTTACGCTCTAGAATCCCTAAAGAATCTAGCATCCCCTATTAATATTGGCAAGTTTGATTTTTTTTTTTTTACAATCTGTTTTGTTGTTGTTGTGATATATCAAGTGTTTATCTGCCACATTCCTCATGTTTAATAGTATATGTTTTGTGTTGATTATTCATGGTGATTGTGATTTCATAGCAATCATGTACATTGATTTTGACAAAATGTTGTCACAATATTAGATACTGTATTTACTTTTGTCCACCAATACTTACACACAACTACTTAACAGCTTTATGCTTTATCATATTACTTCAAATTTTCACACCATTGTAGAGTTTTAACAATTAGGGTTAGTTGGGGACAAATAGTTGTTTAGATAATCTTATTAATAAATGCATTCTTAATAAAGGGATTAGTGAATAAAGAGGAAAGATAGGAATATTATGGTAGATACTTATATAGCATACTTATTTGTGCTGTTTCCTATTTTGTAAAAGATTTGACAAAAGATATACATGTACTTTTTATCACAGTATAAAGAATGGTTGATTTTTTCAGCACATGATATATTTATTAAGCCAAGTATTAGGAGAAGGCCGAAATATAACCATTCGATATCTTTTTTTAGTTTATTGAAGGCAGTTTTAAAAAAGATAAGAAAGGCAAAGGGTTGGAGGTTGGGGGTTACAATTAATAAAAAAACAAAGAAAATAATAAATTCAAACACATTCTGAAGAATAATTACAAATATACATCGTGAAAAAAATGCCATATAAGGCTTGTAATTTTACAGTTTTTAAAGAGATACTAAATAGAAATTATTCTTATTACTTCAATTCATATTTTTTATTTTAAGAAGCATCAACTTATTAGAAGTACTGTACCTAAGCTATTTAATTATTAAGGATTCCTTTTTTAAGTTTTCCACAGGAATAATGTACATTCCAAGGAAAAAATTACTCAGAGTTAAAAAAAATAGCTTTAAGTTGATGCTTGTGTGTTACTGTTTTGACATTAGACTCTTTATTCAAAACATAGATATTTTAACAATTTACATTTAAAGTGTGTACATTGTTATAGATTTTCTTTTGTGTTATAAGTTTTTCTTGTCTTTTGAGCTGAGCATAAGCATATGATATTAATGATCTGTGGGCATATCACTTTTCTTTATTCCATTCCGATTTTCTCATAATAGATATCACATGTGGTGAATATTAAAAATTTCTGCTGAGTTCATACTCATGGGTAACCTGCTTCATATTTTTTGTAGTGCTTTTTTCTCTGCACATTTACTAATTTGTCTAGTCAGACCACTTTTTATTGGTGCTTTTGTTTTAGAATTATAATGCATCAATAATAATACTGTAGATCTATTATTTATTATGAATACTGTAGATTCCTTATTTTTCGTGAGCACTTATTGTGAAAAGGCTCATTAGCGTCAAATCGTGAGAACAATAATTCATGAGTGGATAGTAGATCAAGATATTTATTATGGATTTCAGCTCCATAAAAAGAAAAGCAAGTAATATTTTGTGAGTGGTTCTTCTCTGGAAATTACACGATAATTAATTTCTCGCATATATTTAGGAATCTACAGTAATTTCTAGAGTGATGTATAATTTTTTAGAAGGACTGCAGATTAATTTAGACTGTATGAAGTAGATCTATTGAATGAATACAGATATGGTTCAGAATTTCATTCTTTTAGTTAACTTATATAAGTGCCATTTTTTTCCCCTCTTAAACAATTTGCTATGCATTGTATGTATCTTGTCGATGTATTTAATTCAATCTTTATATTTAAAAGTATGTATTCATTATATCCAGTAATATTGTAATTTTCAAAGGTTGTGTAATGTACAATATCATAATAAGAGACACATTGACAAGTATTTAATAAGTAAGACCTGTTCCTACAATGTGATTAACACTTAATATTCTTGGAAGCTTAAGTATCTATTCAAAGGAAGAAATGCCAATAAATGTTGATGGCAATATGGGTAAATAAAAAGCACATATGGAATTTTGTCTCATGTATGAAGCACTTGTTTTTTGTAATGGAATATGAGAGATACATTGATGTCAAAAATAAAAGGCACCAAGTTTTTTTGTTTGAGAGTGAATCAAATCTTACACACATAGTGATATGGGAGGTAACTCATGTCATACTTCCTCCGGATCATAGTTGACAGCCCTTAGACATAGTGACAGGGTAGATAACTCATGTCTTACCTCCAACAGTTGTCAGATTGAGCCTATGAAAGGAAAGGTCCAAGACAATGTACATGCTAACATCAGTACATTGGTAACTCATACATTTTGTTTATGTCTTTCTTCCTCGGGTAGATTACAGTTTCTAGAATCATTGTGGAAGCACAAACAGCATTAACATGCAGTAGTAAATCAGAATTTATCCAATGGTTGTTTTAAATTTTTTTCTTAAACTAAATAAATAAACTTTTACAAAATGTAATGCATTGAACATTGTTGAAATATGAAAATTAAAGAATTAAGTCTGGACCCAGTAAAACATAAAGTAATTTTAAATCTTAATTTAATGAAAGATCTACAGATGGATGTATCATGCATTTATTGATTTTTGTCACTGTGAATTAGCTGATATTTATGCAGTGTATATTTTCATTCTGGTTTTATTGTTATCGAAGTTTTAAGGTTACTGTACCTTGTTTTTGATGATAATTTGTTAGTGTGCACCTTCAAGTTCTCTTATCATTGCAAGTCTTGTCAATTTGGAATGAGTTTGAAGTCCAATGTGCTTAATAGTGCATAGCTACCTAACCTTTATATCATTTCTGGATCATAGATAGGTAGGCAACATTCAACAAAAATGGCATCCAGTAAACCAAAATATCCACTGGGCTCTCCTCAAGAGCATACTGAAATGTGTAAAACCCATGATTTACCTATTGATGTTATATGTGATGACTTCAATGAATTCATTTGTGGTAAATGTATCAAAACAGATCACAGAGATCATGACTGGAACACTGTACTCGCAGCAGCCACCCAAAGGAGGAGAGGTTTGATAAAATTTCTGAGGAAGATCAAGGAGGAAGAATTGCCAGGGATTAATGAGAAGCTAGAGAAGGTGTCAAAACAGATCACAGAAAACAAAGAACTGTGTGACTCTGAGATTAAAAGACTACAGAAGCATTATAATGAGATAATGGCCCGGATGACAAATATCAAGGAACATAAGGAACAACAATTTAGAGACAATTTGAAGAAAAACAATGAAAAGTTGGATGTTGCACAATCAGAGTTAAATAAAAAGAAGAAAGAAATTGCTGACATAGTTAAGTTTTTGGAGGAATACAACAGTACCATGTCAGATTACGGCTTCATTGACAATTACAGAGAACTGACACAACTGCTTTCTGGCCTGGATGTTGATATGAAGAATAGTACACCATCAGTGAGATACAGTACAGTGATGCCGTACTGGGGAACTTAATTGGAAAGTCTTTTGATTAAAATGATATCAGTTTGACTGAAACAAGCTCATTTAAATATGGAGAGGAAGCAGTAATTTTGTTGAGGGCATTATGTGAGGATCAGTGTTACGTAAGAGAAAAAGAATCACCTTACTTTGAACAAGTAAACAAAGAAGGTGAAATAAAACATAAATATAATATCAATTCTAATGACATGTGTGTGACTGATAACGGGGATGTTTATTGTACTGACTTTAGTAACAATTCCATCAGCTGTCTGTCACTATCAGGATCTGTCTCTACAGTCATTAGTACAGATCCACCGGGACCAATAGGAATCTGTCAGTCAGTGGACTACTGAAATCAGATCATTTTGAATTAGAGTTACACAGCAGACGTCTGGTGAGGCACATCACAGTGACATGTGATGTCATCCATGAGTATGAGTACCAGGAGGACGGTCAGACTAGACTTTTTACGTTGCCACGCAGCGTCACACAGAACAGCAATAGTGATATCTGTGTTGTTAACCGTACAAATTCCACTGTAGGTGAATTAGTGATTATGTGTACTTCTGGTCGTGTAAAGTATGTCTACCGTGGACAGAACCTGACAGAAGACTTTTGGCCAGGTAATGCAGTTTGGGACTCGCTCTGTAACATTCTCGTTCCTGACCTTAATGATAAACAGATCCATCTGCTGAGTCCTGTTGGTGAATTTTTGAAGTATTTACTGACAGAAAATGAAGTGAACTGTCCAACCAGATTATCACTGTACAAGTCTACGCTGTGGGTGGGAAATATGGAAGGACTTGTCAAAGTGTTTCAGTACACAATGTAAAATCTGACAATGAGCTATAGTGTAGTATGTGACTCACTCTGTAACATCCTTGTCACAGACCCACCGAAAAAACATATCCATCTGCTGAGTCCCGATAGGGAATTTTGGATTTTGAGTTGGAAAGTCCTTATTTAGACTGTATGAAGTAGATCTATTTAATTAATACAGGCATGGTTAAGAATTTCATTCTTTTGGTTAATTAATGTATCTGCCGTTTTTTCTCTTGAAGAATTTGTTATGCACTGTATGCATCTTATCTATATATTCAAGTAATTTGTTGTATTCAAAATCTTTGCGAATATGGGTAAAAAAGCACCTGTGGAATTTTGTTTTATGTATGAAGCACTTGTTCATGTAATGGAATATGAAAGATACATTGATGCCAAAAATGGAAGGCACTAAGTTTTCATGATTACGATTTTTTTGTTTGATAGTGAATCAAATCTTACAGACATAGTGCCTGTATGAAATATAAAGACAGATTCCGCCTGGAATATGGGTGGAATATAGCAGGAATTGGCTAATTCCGGGCGTACTTGAGACGGAGACGGACTTTTGAAAAGTAAAGTAGAAGAAGTGTCTTCCAGGCGTCACTTCTACTTTCCGGGCGTCAATTTGCAAGTTCAGATTTTCCCTGGCGTAAAATAGCAGGAAAATTAAAACAAAAATTAGGCCTGGAACTTTCAGGAGGAGTAAAAGCCTCTGACTGGTCAATTTAATTGTCAATTAAGGGTCATTTCAGATAGAAAGTTGTTTGAATTTCATCAGGAAAGAGGGAGCTCAGTGAGAGTGAAATAGGAAATACAGATATATCAATTTTAAGGCTTTTACACTTGTTCTGGATGACACAGTATCTGCTGGTAGGTGTGATAATTAATATCTAGTACCTTTATTTAGTAAATTTGAATGTACAATGATTGTTATTGACTCTTTAGATTATTCGAGTTTCCTTCATTAAACACATTCTGAGATGCCATAGACTAGGCACTCAAACTGTAAAGTACTGAGTAAATGAACTGATGTTTAAGTAATTTGTTTGATTCATTGTCATGTCTAGAGTGATAAAAGAATTTCAAAAAGTTTATCAAATTCTGATAGACATTATTTACACTCCTGATGATGACTGAGTGTCCCTTATGCAAAGAAATAAAACAGTTTTCATAAATTATAATATATTTTTATACTATTTTAGATGTTAATGACTTGTTATTATGTTTTCTTACAGTTCAAAAGGCTGAATTTTCAACATTAACATTTAAATCATAATTTTGCTTTTCTTGGCTGTATTGGTTTTTAGGTCACATAGTATTTTATAATTAGAAGGACTTTCCATGCGTAATTCTGCTTCAGGCGTCATTTTAGTTTCCAGGCGTAATTTTTTTCCATAACACCATATATGTAGTGAGACAAACTGACGCCCGGAATCCTTTTCAAAGTACGCCTCTATTCCCCCTATATGCCGGGCGGAACATTTCGTACAGGTGACACGGGAGGTAACTCTTGTTATACCCCCTCCGGATCATAGTTGACAGAAAGCCATGTAGACATAGTGACACGGGAGGTAACTCATGTCTTACCTTCTTACAGTTACACCACAGTTGTCACTCTGTAACATCCTTGTTACAGACCCATCTAACAAACAGATCCATCTGCTGAGTCCTGACGGGGAATTTTTGAAGTTCTTACTGACACAGAATGGAGTGAACTGTCCAGTCAGATTATACAAGTCTATACTGTGGTTGGTATATAATAAAGGGCTTGTCATTTGTGTTTCGGTACCGAGTGTAAAATTTGATTATGTATATTACATAAATTTTATAGGAAAATTAAATTAAGAGAGATGTGATGATCATAATCATGTTTCAATACGTCATTAGATGTAAATTCCCGTACGAAATTTTGGGGTGGAATAGGCACTGCTTGGGCACGGATAACACACGGAACCCGCATGAGTTTTCGTATGTGTCATTTATTTTCTCTTAAACAATTTGCTATGCATTGTATGTAATTTGTCTATATATTTCACTCAATTTTTATATTTAAAAGTATATATCCATTATATCCAGTTATATTGTAATTCTCAAAGGTTGAGTAATTTTGTAAAATATTGTAATAAGAGACACATTCACAAGTATATATTTAATAATAAGTCTAGTTCCTACAATGTGAAACAGTCAATACTCTTGGAAGCTTAAGTGTCTATTCAAAGGAAGAAATGCCAATAAATGTTGATGGTAATATGGCTAAATAAAAAGCACATACGGAATATTGTCTCATGTATGAAGCACTTGTTTATGTAATGGGATATGAGAGATGCATTGATGTCAAAAATAAAAGGCATCGAATTTTAGTGATTACCATGTTTTGGAGTCTGAGAATGAATCAAATCTTACTGACAAAGTGATACACGAGGTAATTAGGGAAAGAAACGGTGCTTTCATTGAATATTTGTGTTTTTAATTCTTGGAAAAATACTTTCTTGGAAGGTGAACTATTATGTCCAATAAGATTTTGAATTCAGCACTGAGATTCTTCGTACTTGAAATAATGCAGGAAAATTAAACTACCAAAACACAATTTACGAAATAATTATATCGATACAACATTTAACGATTCGTCAGTTTTCTGGACGACACACTGACAAAGTTCCAAACAATGCGAGACGTTTTAGATGCTACAATGAAAAATCTATCTAAACAAGGTGTTGGACTTAAAAAGCGTCAAGCAGATGTGATCATGGTTGACCAAAAATAAATTCTGTGGCAAAAGGGTGTCTTGGGAACGGACTCGCCGAAGCATCTCATGGATACATTATTATATAGCCTAGGACTTAACTTTATACTCCGTGCAGCTCAAGAACATATAGGTATGGCAGGCCAAATTCACAAAAATGAGCTAAACATAGTTTCACAGTTGATAAACTAGGTTTATCGAATGTAAACTATAGTTTACGGACCGTAAACCATAGTTAACGATGTTAATCTATATTTCAATCTCTAAATCATAGTTAACGCCTTAATCTATGTTTTACAAGTGTAAGCTATACTTACCACCGAGTGTACTATTGTAAAGTACAGTTAAACTATGTTTATATCTAATTTTTGTGAATTTGGCGTGCCATATATAGGGGTTTAAGAGTTGGAGAACATTCTCAGCTGGCCATCAAAATACATACTTAAAGTACAGAGAAGATGTCTCAAAGTGCAACTCAGTGGGTCTGAATCACCAGAAGGCTGAACCTAAAATTACAAGAGCCTACGAAAATCTTGCCTTTAAATAGTTTAAATAGATCTTGCCTATCTATATAATTTACTTAAACATTTAGTTTTAAAGTAATATTATTTACGAAAAAAGAAAATGAAATTAACGATAGCCATATCTTGTTCCCTTCCGTTATGCAAAATACCAATATCCACACGGGCATCGGTATTTTGCAGAACGAAACAAAACCAAAGCTTTCCTTTTGAAAAGAAAGAAAAATACCAAGAAATAATAACAACAAACTTACGAATTCTGTCAATGTGTGGTTTGAGATTGTTAAATTGTGAAAAAAGTGATTAATATGGATTTAAGTGATGTTAAAAACGCATATTCCTTTTCCTCAACTAATTCTTAAAACATTTTATGCCATATATTTTGGTATTATGTAAATGTTATTATAAGCATAATATTGGATTAATGAAGTAGCGTTTCAACAACCTTTAGGACAGTAATATAAAATGTTTAAAAGTCAAAGCTTATACACTATTTTGTCATGTGGTGTGACATCTGTCGTTATTATGGAAGCTGTATTGAATGATTGATATGTATTAAATTAATACATACATAGCATTTGAATAAATTCATTTTACAATAATAATTAATACTATTAATTATTATTGTAAAATGAATTTATTCAAATGCTTGCGTACAGTGCTAAAGAAATATTGTTTATTTACTTCAGTAAAGAGAGTTTTTCTTTGCCAACATTGGCCATCCTCTGGTTCCGTTCCGTTCCGCGAAACGGAACGGAACAAAGTTACCCATGAATCATAAATGTATGAGTTTCAGTCTGTTATTCTTTATCGGTAAATCTTGTTAAAATTATTTTTAGATTATTTATATACATTGTATATATACTAAACTTTAATCTGAGAAAAAGCTTTTGCAGTCAAATATTTAAAAGTGAAATCGTTAATGTGCATAAATATGCCAAATATCAACATTGTAAGTACGGAATCTTTTTGTTTTGTTTTAATTGTTTTTTAGTCATATACACATGAATAAAATTCTTGGTAAAAGATGAAAATTACAAGCTTTGCAAGTCTTTCTAACAAATCTCTAATCTAAAATCCTCTATCAGCCATACCTTCATGACCTGGTCGTACATAATCAAGAAAACCACAATACTTAATAATACATCTGTCAGATCCCCTCAAGGTTCAACATATCAAGATCAAGATATTTTCACCCTTCCTGTATGTACACTTGCGAAAAGAGAGGCGGGTAAACTGTTTTCAACATCATTCTTCAGTATAAAATGTCCTTCTAAATGCCGTTTTGATATTCAACAAAATAATTAACATTCAAGTGACAAATACTTTCCAATGATGAGTGTACTTGTATGTCAAGAAATGCATGAATATCATATTATGTAATCCAATCATTGGATATTTGGAGGAAAGGAGGAATGTCCCTCACTAAATCTCTCATCTCTGAATCAGTATTTTTATCGATATCAGCCAAGCTGTCATGAATCATGGGCGATTCGAGATATCCCGACTCGTTACGCAAAGTAGTTAAACTGAAAGAATTTAATTTTTAAAAATAAAAAAAATTAATGAGATTCATATTACAAGATATTTCTTCATATATTATATTTCATTATTTTCAATTTCGAATTGTTTCGTTTTGTTCCGCTAAATACTAATATGCACATGGATATTTGTATTTAGCAGAACGGAACGGAACCAGTTGTGATGTACCTTGAAGGGGATTAATATGAAAATAAACGGTTACTT